AGCTAATTTTTTGTATTTTTAGTAGAGACGGGGTTTCACCATGTTGACCAGGATGGTCTCGATCTCTTGACCTCGTGATCCACCCGCCTCGGCCTCCCACAGTGCTGGGATTACAGGCTTGAGCCACCGCGCCCGGCGGTTGAGTTTTAAAACTCTGGAAAAGGGTACCATAGTCACAATGTAGAATTACCCATCAAACACATTTGCTGTCCTCCTACTACGTTATTCCTTTTTAGGGGGAGAACTGGGATTGATCAGTATCTATAAGGATAGTATAGTTTACCTTTTAGGTAGGCAATTCTAAAGGATCCATCAATAAGAAGCTCTAGGATTAAAAATTAAATACCTCTATGGAATACAAATCAGGATTCTTGGGACAGTCTGGCACAAAAAGGATTCAGGGACAGGAAGCAAAGGCAGGCAGTGTTTGGCTTATAACAAATAGAAAAGCCATATACAGAATGAAGCAGTGCTAATGACATTTTCACTGTTCAGTGTTCCCTCAGCTCAGAGTGAGTAGGCCGACTGTCCACAGGTCCTTGGATCCAAAACAGTCCTCTACCCGGAGCCTTCATTTCAGCCCATGCACGTCCATCAGGGAAGAGTGAGGGTCCTGGTATGTGCTCCCTGCCCCACCTCTTCCTCTGTCCTTTACATCCATGCATCAAGGTGAAAGCCCAGGCATGCTTCCCAGTGCATCCTCGAGACGTTATGTCTTCTGAGCAGAAAGAACAAAAGGATGACATGACTGGACTGAAACTGGCCCTTCAGGCTGCAGTCATTTTGCAACTGCAGCTGACCTGGAGGTTTAGTTCCTGTCTTCCTTGGCTACCATGACACTGGCTGGGGAGGACGAGGCAGTCGAGGCCAGCAGCCGTTTTTGGTGCAGCTCTTCCCACTTACTTCTGTTTGTAGCTACTGAATCTAGCATCGGCTTCAGTTTCACATTGACCTTCACCAATGCCTAAAACAAAACGAAACAGGTGGAGGAGAGAGGACATAGATTAACTGACATGATTTTCCACCTTTCGTTTATGAGGAGAATGGGAACTGGCTATAGGAAATGAAAGTGATGATTATTTTGGTAAACAAGAGCTATATACAAGAAATAAATATGTATTTAACACCATTATGTTGTATTAATAGAGCCATCTATTAATAATAAGACATCACCATCATGGCTGTGTACAACTCTAGGAGACACCAGCCATGTAGACTCAAAATCCTGTTTTACAACTACATCAAGCAAGACAGGAAACAAAATATCAAGCTCACATATACCTACTTATGTGTGCATCTTTGCCTGCCATAGACGGCTCCAGATCTCAATTGACTATGAACTTAAATTTTTACAAAATAATTGTACAATTGCTCTACCATAGATAACTCTGGGTGAACTTACTTGAATAGGAAAGGCCAAGTAAAATCCTGAAGTGAAGAGGTACTCATTTTTAAAGCTAAAGATCTGGGAGTTGTGCTAAAGCATGGATACATGCATGAAAATAGACATGGCAGAAAGGGAAGCAGTGTGGAAGAGAGTGACAGAGGGATGAAAGGGGCATGAGGGAAGAGGAAAGGTAGGGTGTGGCCAGGGGCAGATGGACCACCAGGCTGATGAAAGTCAGGCTCAGGCTTCACGGTCCTCATTTGCACTAGACCCTTCTAAGTATATTCTTTTGTGCTTAATTGTGTGTGTGTGCTTTTAAAAGAGTCCTCCTAGCTGGGCATGGTGGCTCATGCCTGTAATCCCAGCACTTTGGGAAGCCAAGGTGAATGGATCACCTGAGGTCAGGAGTTCAAGACCAGCCTGACCAACATGGAGAAACCCTATCTCTAATACAAGATTAGCTGGGTGTGGTGGCATGTGCCTGTAAACTCAGCTACTTGGGAGGCTGAGGCAGAAGAATCACTTGAACCCGGGAGGGTGAGGTTGCAGTGAGCCATTGCATTCCAGCCTGGGCAACAAGCAAAATTTCATCTAAAAAAAAAAAAAAAAAAGAGTCCTCCTATTCCCAAATGGTATAAGCTTGTCTCACTGCTCCTGGGTTGCCCCTGGTAGTGGAATGAGAGCCCGAAAAGTAAGATGGCTTATTTGAATTTAATGCAAATGAGTGCTTTTTCAGCTTTCATATCAGAGGGCTATTCCAGGATAAGGGATGACATGGGGGCAGGGCCGAGGATTTTGTTTCTAAACTGGGACTAGAACAAATTCAAGGAGCTCAGATTAAAGAGCAATAGGCAAATATTTTACAGATCAGAGGGGCATGGAGTTTACTCTGCCCAACAGGAAAATCCCACTATTCTCTACTTTGCTGATTGTTTCCATTCTTTTAAATGCATGAATAGCTATATTTTATTTATTTTAATTTTTTTTTTTTTTTTTTTTACTTTTCATAATGAAAGGCTTCTAACATATTTAACCATTAAAAGGTGATCAGCAAAAATATCTATTAGGTATCTATATGCTAATAAATATAGGAAATATAAGTAAAGCTACCATGTAAAACATATGTAACAAAGGGTCTAGGAGCCTTTTAATTTTCTAGACAGCTCAATGAAAAGGGAAATAAGATTTTGATGACATTTAACTTTTAGAAACATGGTCTTTGTCCTTTTAAAACATGAGATTTTGGGGAGTTGTTTTAAAAATAATACATTTTCTTTCCTTTACAGTTATTTTGTATATTTTAAGTAACATATTAATGTTAGAAAGTATAGAAACGATAGGTTTAAAAAGTAGGAAGTTGAGATAATTTATAATCTCAAAACTCAAGAGATAAACACTCCTAACTTTTGGGTTTTGCCTTGAATGGAATCTTTCTATTATGTTTCTAACTGGTTAAATGATCAGAACATCTAAAATATGGCTGGATGAGGTGGCTCACGCCTGTAATCCCAGCATTTTGGGAGGCTGAGGTGGGTGGATCATTTGAGGTCAGGAGTTTGAGACCAGCCTGGCCAACATAGTGAAACCCCATCTCTACTAAAAATACAAAAAGAAAATTAATAATAACTCGGTGTGGTGGTGCACGCCTGTAATCCCAGCTATTTGGGAGGCTGAGGCAGGAGAATCACTTGAACCCAGGATGCAGAAGTTACAGTGGGGCAAGATCGCACCACTGCACTCCAGCCTGGGCAACAGAGCGAGACTCTGCCTCAAAAAAAAAAATATATATATATATATATATATATTTATATGGTATTTTATAAACTCAGTTTACAAATGGATAGAATCAATGAGAATATATGGATTTTTAACCATTCATACTTCTTGGGCCTGCTTTCCATCTCCAGGGTCCGAAAGTATAAAAACCTGGCATCCCATGTGGATGATGGGGAGCTTCTGTTAACACTTAACACCTCCTATGTGTTAAACACATTGCCAGCTGCTCTACATACTTCATCTCACTATTCCTTACAATGACTGTGCATTTTACAGATAATAAAACATGTCCCCCACTTGTTAGGATCATGAGTCATCCTTAGTCCTTCCACTGTAGGAGGAAGATAAGAATCCATATAGGAAGTTAGGGGTTCCTTTTGTAATCTTACCATTTGTTTTGGAAGCCATGGAGAAAACCATTGTTTTTCTCAAGTAAAAAATCAGGGATAGGACACTAGCCTGTCATATAGAATGAATATATAGAATGAATATATAGAGAAATCTGCTGAGGATATAGCATAAAAGTGAAGCTCTTAAAGAGTCAAGAAGAAAAATCAAGGAATAATAAGGTACACATATTGAAATTGTATGGTTTCAACCTTTGTCAATGAACAATTCCAACCAGCTAGTAACTTTGTCATTCCTGTTTTAAGAGACTGTGATGGTGATGAGGAGACTGAAGACATGAACTTCTGAGGACACACTGAGTATGATTGCTATTGTCATCAATTTGGGGTAAGGGTTGACACCAGGACCTTCCTTCTAACTTATTCATACCCACCTCCCCTTTCTTCTTTCCTCTTATCCATCAGTTCTATCACCCATCATCTTGCATATGTGTACAACTCTCATGAATTCTGACATTGTTCTTTGAATGTAATCTTATGTCACTTGCAGCCTCCCTTTCCATTTAGACTTGAGATTAGACCTCAAATCTATTTCATGCTCTGGGGGACCTTTCAGACTCCTCCCGGTGACTTCCGAGTATTACTTCCTTATACTCTCTGACTTCTTCTTCAGTCTATGTGGCCCTCTTGACCCCATTCTGCATCGTTCCTAATGCAGTGTTTCACTTTATTTCCCCTTTTCACAGGAAATCCAATCATCCTCAACATTTTGAATACCTACTAACTGTATTGAACTTTAGAAGTTGTCATAGGCCAAGTGACTTACCCACTAACTTACTCCTGCGTGCTCCTCTTCATTGCAGAGGCCACAGTCTTTTACCCCATGGAGAGTACTTGAGTTTTCTCCCCAGCCCTGTCTCACTGCTTTTACACAGTCATGGCCTTCCAGCCAGCCAGTTTTTTTCCTAGGCTCCCCCAAATTCTGACAAATTAAAGTTTCTCTTTCTTGTTGCACAAAGGCCTATAAGATAGTTTTTATTTTCCTTATAAAGAAATAAATAAAAGAAGGAACAAAGAAGTTGTGAGATTATTAGCCTATGGAAGGATATTCCCACTTTATGACTTGGGTCAGTTAGCTATTTTTTGTTCCATGGACAGGATTATATTCCTGGTCTCATATAGACACCTTGCAGGTATATCCCACTCATCACAAGGGGGAAAAAAGGCAAACATATCATTAAGGCACTGTGATTTTAGCACATCTTCTGAAAAGCCTTCTCCAAGCATGTGGTTAGGGAGTGGTCAATAGCAAGTCCTCCAAAAGGAGAAAGAATAGCTCTTTTTCTGTTAGGATGGCAGAGTGTATGGCCCCAAACACAACTGCAAACCACCTGTTAGTAAACCTAATTTATATGCTCAAATAATCCTCTGCTCCAGGGAGTTGCATGAATATGAGTAAAATGTAACTAGATGTAAGTTAAGGGAGTAGGGGTGGAGGTTGAAAGCTAACGTCCTTAGGAGAGTATATTCAGTCTCTCTCTTAACAGTGGACAGAAACATCTAATTTTAAATCAAATGTACCAGTTATTTCATATAATAAAGCAACATTGCAACTCCAGCAGTGATCAAAATCCCCTTTATTTCCATGAGAAAAATGCAGGTGCTTGTTGTCCACTCAATGCACAGTGTTTTATTTAGACAATAGTGTGAGGTAGCCACAACTGCCATGGTTTTATTTAGTATAGCTTGGCACCAGCTCCTCTTTACTCTGTTCAAGCCTTTTAATTAAACAGACTACTATAATTCCTATGGAAATTAGTGTTTATGTTATTTTTCCTGCTACAAAAGCATTTCTCTAAAACTTATTTTTTTTAATCCCAGGAGCACAAATTGGAATTTTTTTCTGCTTGAAATGTAATTAAAAACTCATTTGATTACAATATTTCTGGCTCTGTTTTACTTATTAAATTCCTGTAATCAGTTTTCTTTTATGAAGCTGCTGGGAAATGATCTCAAAAGCAACACATTTTTTTCTTCCCTGGCAGGTTCCCAAGCATTTACTAAATTACATTCATAGCACCTGCCCATGATTCGAATCATTCCAAAAATTTATTCCTTAAGCCATTTAAGTTTATTTGGCATAGCCCCAAACAGCTTTCTTCCCTTTATCCTTGCTCTTTGTTCTCCCTCTTGCTTCCTTTGTATGGAATAAGGAAATTGGGGAGGGGGGAGGAATACATATTTATCAGAATTCCTTTTTCTCTTTGTTTTATATTTTCCTGAAACTCAAAATTGCCATACTAGAATATTATGGCCAGGTGCAGGTTCTAGGCAAAGGTAACAAAACTCCTATCTTGAAGACTTACCCTTACACTCTAAATTTGTTACAGAAATGTAGTTAGCTGAGAGAATATGGATCTATTAAAATATTAGTAAAGCAAGGGTTTATCCACG